GCTTTACTCGCAGAAACCACGGAGATTTTCTTCTTGAAAGCTTTCGGCACCGCGTTCTCGGTGGGGGGGGGTCAATTTTGTTGTGTCTCGTCTGTCTCCTGCCCATCAGGCATGTTTGTTTGTTTGTTTCTCTTTGAAGAGTTGGAAGGGAGGTGTCTCCGTTTTCTTTCGCTCATGCGCCGCGTATGCCGCACGCATGGCACGTTCTCGCGCGTTCACTGTCTGATTTTCTATCAAAGGGCGCTTGATGCGTAGAAACAAATCGCGCTCCAACAGTTTGACCTATATACCATATGTATGCGTGGCGGGGATACAACCAGCCTAGGCTTCATGTAGACTATAATATTACATGCGATATTTATATATTTTTGACTCCACTCGCTCTCTCTTGTCGGTTGCTTTGAACTTTGTCTTGTTTGTGATGTCCGCGTCCCCGAGTTTTCTATATCGTGGGTGATCGATGCTTCACGTGGGTCTTGGGAGTGGGTAAGGAAGACAGACGGTGCGTGCGGAAAATATAGCGTGGATAGCGTAGCGTGGATAGCGTAGCGTATATAGCGTGGATAAGATAAATTGATGTGCAACTCCTCGACGAGTTTCGTCGGCGTTGTTGCCTGTCTGAAGCTTCCCTTGTTTTTTTCACGGGAAGCCGCAAGTGCTTACTTTCACGGTAGTAACACTCTCGAGCATGAGACAGGAAAAGGAAAGTGACTGAATAATGAAGACGTACGTCCAGAACGCGGTGAAGGCCTTGAAGCTAACTATCTATGGTGCCGACGATGAAGAGGCCAAAGAACTAAATCCGAAGAAAACCTACGATGACAGGATGCATTCAAACAAGAAGTGAACGCGAAAGAATCGAACGAACAAACGCCTCAAGCAGTTCTCCCCGATGGGTTGACACGGCCTGAAGTGTAGGTCGTTTGGCGATAGGCTTCCACGGGATGGGTTGCAGCGGCACCGCGGCGGCGAGAGGGGTGACCCCCCGGCGGCGGCGGCGGCGGCGGCGGCGGCGGCGGGGAAGAACGGCCGGCGCAGACACTCGCGGCGGGCGCGGCAGCATCGGCAACAGCACCGGCGGCGAGAGGAGGAATCACCGGCAGTCATGTGTTCCCCGCGACACCGGCGGGGGGCACGGCCGGGGTGCAGGCACTCGCAGCTAGAGCGTTACCATCGGTAGCAGCACCGGCGGCGAGAGTGGTGACCCCTGGCGGCAGGGTTTTCCCCGCGGCGGCGGTGGGGGAGACGGCCGGGGCGCAAGCACTCGCGGCGGGAGCGGCAGCATGGGCAACAGCACCGGCGGCGAGAGGGGGAATCACCGGCAGTCATGGCGAGTTTTATGTAAACGGTTGCATGCCAGAGGTCGGTCGTATTCCAGCGATAGACCAGGCCGCCAATCAACCCGTAAAAAACAACAGCCCCGGGGCTCAACTGAATCCCTCTGGTCCTTTTTTCCCATGGAGGACGTCCCATATCTATCTGTGTGGGGTATGATGCGAGTTGCTCCTAGGTCTATGTGATCAACACACTCACTTACAGGAGGTTGGACCACGATCAGCCAGGCCGCCACTCAATCGTTAGAAAAGAGGCGCCAGGAAGGTTCCAAGTCCGAGAACAGACCCCTCCCATTGGCGCGACACCATTTCTGGCAATCCCCCGCAAACAAATACGATAGGTAATCGTCGGGGCAGACAACACCCCCCCGGTTCACCTCCGCCGGCCACGCCGATCGAATGCTTACCGGCAAAAACAATGCGGGTCGTCGGCGTGCTCACCCCGCGGAGCATTTTACCCTAGAGCAACTAGTGGCTGACCACAACAAAACGTAGCAGCATGATCGCATTGCATGTGATCGGTCGAGAAAGACACCGATCCGTTGTTTCAGAACCAGGTTTCCGGACCTCGACAGGTGATCATTCTTACACCCGTGGAGTTCCACCCCAAGTACAACAGCGGTAGCAGTAATAGCTCTCCACCAACACTCATCAAGACAAACCACCACAGGAATCCGAGGAGCGAATACATCCCAAACAAGCATGACAAGTTCTAGAGCGTCTGCCTTGTCATCTTCTCGAAGTAAGTGTTGAAATCAACATCCAACAGTTCTCTAGGACCTACTACCTGCTGCATGGTAAGGTTAGACAACAAATCATAATAATCACTACTGCTGCACCCACCCACCCCTTTGACCAACCAGCTAGAGCCCATCCAAACACAGCCAAACGCAACCAACATTGGAGACACGCAACACAGACAGGCAAGCTTTGTCCTGCTGATTTTGTCCCGCGGATCCATCCCGCGTATTTTTCCCGCGGCTCTTCTTTCTCGTCTGTCTAGGCCGCCAGTCTCGAGAGTCAACTTTCCTTTCTCATCCCGCACCGGCATGATGAATATGTCCGTGTGTTACGATCTCGACGCTATACATACCCCCGGAGAGACGGTGTGACACAGGCACATGTAGACTACAACCGACCCCGGTAGTCTACATGTAGGTAGATGTACCGCCAGCCAAAACTGTCCCTCAGGGACAAAACCCTCTTCGTGTATGCACGTAGATATACCGATGGTCAAAACTGTTCCCACAAGATATAACAAAAAACCCTTGCACTAATTTGTCAACACGAGGAGCGGACAGAGCACTCAGGTTAATTGTCGGCAACGATCCAGGCGTCGAGCGTGCGCGGCCACGCGGAGCACTCCTCCTGCGATGCGATGGTTGTGTCGCGGCGTCGAGGGGGGAGGAAGGGGTACAGACGAGGCGGTGGTCGTGGCGGTACAGCGGTGGCTACGGTTTAAGAGAGACTATGCAAGAGAAAGTACCGATCTATTAAGAGAGTCAAACTGGCTTGTCACGACCATGAGGAATATATACATTTCACAGTACGGTTTCAGAGAAAACCGGATTTAAAAGCGAAATACTGGCTTGTCACGACCCGCTTCTTAAACCGTAGCCACCACTGTAGTGAGACACACTATCACCACGCGTTATACTGCTGTACCGTGCAATACTCTCGCGGGCGGTAATACCGTGAAATACTCTCGCTGCTTTTCACCGTGTGGTTCAAAACATTTTTTATCCTATTGCCGTGATACTTTCAAAAGCAAAAAAACACGAAAACACAAATCTCCGCGCCGCTCCGCACGTAAAAGAAGAAAAGCGAAGCACCTCTACTCCAGAGACTTTTTTTCGCGCGCTCTCATGCTCTTGTGTGCCTTGGTCACCTCCCTGAAAATTCGCACATGTCTTGGAACTGAAGACTACTGTCTACGCAGCAAAATTGACTAAGCAAACATATGGGACAAAGGATTGAATCCGTGCTTTGGGGTTAGGGTTAGGGTTAGGGTTAGGGATACGGTCTGCGTGCCCCCTCTCTATTCCTTTTCTATAATAGATACTCTTCAAATCCTGCGTAGGCGGTCCTTTTTTTGTTCTGTGCGCCCCCCCCCGTTACCTCAGTGAACCACATGCCGATCTCGTGCTGGGCGCTCTCGCCCCCGTCGCTGCCGTGGATCAAGTTCCTGCCCACGCGGATGCAGTAGTCTCCGCGGAGGGATCCTGCGGTTGTTGTTGTTGTCGGAGGTGATAATGTTGTTGTTGTTGTTGTTGGAGGTGACAATGTTGTTGTTGTTGCTGTTGGAGGTGACAATGTTGTTTGTTGTTGCTGTTGTTGGAGGTGATGTTGTGTTGCGATCGTAGTTGCTCTTTTTTCTCCTTTTTTTTGTTGCTGCTGATGTCGTTGCTGTATTTGTTAGACAACATCGCGAACTGGTGCGTATGCATAGGAACCGCGAGAGTCGAAGATTGAACAAAGCGCGGCAGTCTTCGCGCGTGTGTGATGCCATCCCATACATCCCGGAGGCTTGTTTTTAGCAATACCTTCTTCGAGACGGAGAAACGCACCACCCGGGGTGTCGAAAAAACGCATCTGGCTCGGACTCGTCCATAAACTTGCTTATACCGTCCTCGCTCCGATTCAAGAGGGTCGGGGGCCTTTGTCACCCCACGTAGCAAACGATGACTTTTCGATCATCCGCCTCATGAGAATTCTATTCGAAAATGCCGCCCTTCCAACAGCAGGACAACCAAGAACCGAGTCGGGTTTCCACGGCGCCCTTCCAACAGCAAGACAACCAAGAACCGAGCCGGGATTCCAAGCGTCGCATCCGAAGAGGAACAAGAACAAGAAGGATAACCGAAGAGGAACAAGAACAAGGACAAGAAACGAAGAGGAACAAGAACAAGAAGGATAACCGAAGAGGAACAAGAACAAGAACAAGAACAAGAACCCACCTGGCTCGGACGAGTTGGGGTTGGTTGCCCCGAGCATCTTGCGGCCGGTCAAGATGACCTCGGGCCCTTCCCACACCATCGCCACGATGGGTCCGCTCGAGAAGTAGTCCACCAGGCCCGAAAAGAAGGGCTTCTTTGACAGGTCTGCGACGGGGGCCCAGGCAAGCGCGAGGGATACCCAAGTGTGTTACAAGGAAAAGTCTGCGCAGGTCCTCTAAAACAGTTCCAAGTCAAGGATCAGTCACGTGAACGAACTCAATGAAATTAGTACTGTGTACACATGTGGAAACGGTTTCGGGATTTCTGTCCACTGACAATTGGCACGAGGGCTGATATCTTGTGTCACCTACTGCTGTACGTACGTGAATGCGCAGTACCTGGCCAGGCAGCGTGGGAGGAACACTGCGAGGGGATGGACTAAATACTTAAGATCTCAAAGGGTGCGGGGGGGGAAGGGGCGACATGTCTGCGACGGGCAGTGTGGGAAGAGCTACCAATTATCACGAATGTGTGTGTGTGTATCGATTTTTCACGCATCTCACCGGCGTAGTGGTTGGCGGCCATCTCCTTGGTTGGCCAGATCATCTACGGCGGAGATCGCGGTACGTGACGCGATGGCGGAAAGTTGCCAATCGGCCAGAAGCGTCAACATCACAACAAAACAAAACAAGGTAAATCCGCACGCGTGGAAGCAGAGTCAGTGCGACAAAGTAAGCTATTTAGTACGCTCGGAAGAGGGGGGGGGGGTGAGAAAACCAAGCTTACAGCGTGAATCGTTTGGGAAGCGGCGCAAGATGGGAAGCGGACTGCGTCTAGGAAGTGGGATGTGGGACTGGACGTAAGCGGTTCGTTCCGTGGATCATTCCGTAGAGACGAACCGTTCGCCCGGAAAGCAACCCGTAAATTTATCTCCTAGAGTGGTGGTGGAAAAGTTATCTCCTAGCGATACCACAGGGCGGATGGACAGCAACGAATTGCATGTATCCACTTTAGCGAGTTGGGGCACAAAATCGACCGGCACTTTTCGAAGGCTGCGACCTAACATAGTCGTGGTCCCGGTTCAGCGGTCCATAGTGTCACAAAATGTTATAACCGCTATTGCGGGCATCGCCACTCGAACGGATTGGCAGTTATATACAGTATAAATAGTAGTTTGAGAGCCGAGGTGCATCCGTGAGACGAGATTTTGGAACCGCTATTCAGGGCATCCCGCTAAACAGGGAACCGCTAAACCGGGACCACAACTGTGAAACCAAGAGGAGCACAAATCTCGGGAAGGGGGGGATAGGGTAGCAAGGTACACTAACGTTCGCCCCGCAATTCCATCAACGGTTGCACGAGCTGCTCTCTCCAAGTTGTCAACCGCAAACGAGATCGTTGCTGAGTCGAAAGGTCGAAACCGCAAAAAGAAGAACTGCAAGAATGTTTTGAGTTTGGAATCTACGGTGCCCCTTGTCTTTCAAAAATGGTGAGACGACATCACGTCGTATTTTTTTTATCTCAACATGATGAACATTTCGAGTTTGGAATCTACGGTGCCCCTTGTCTTTCAAAAATGGTGAGGCGACATCACGTCGTATTTTGTTTATCTCGACATGATGCGCCCCCCACTTGAACCAAAACATATACGGCCCTGTAAACAGCCGCTGTAATTCTGTGTCCAAGCCACATGTATATTTCCGCCAACCTTTGACTGCTACAAAGGTGTACCCTATGTAGCTGGCCTGTGACCACGAAAGGCGTCCCCGGCAGTTGGACCGGTACAGACATGTATTAGAAGGTACTGAGCGGAGACCGGAACGGTATTTAATGTCAAGACAACAACAACAACGACAACAACGACGACGACGACCCCCTGGTGCGGAGTCCAGTCAAGGCACGGGAGCCTCAGGCGCATCGTCGCGAGATTTATCTCTCTCCCGTGTCGTACCTTCATGGCCACGAGCTTGTATCCCTTCTTCTCGAAGCGAGAGATGACCTCGCCGACCAGCTGCCGCTGCACCCCGTCCGGCTTGATGGCCTGTCGCCGGAACGGAGGCACGGAGAGTTATTTGGTGTGGAGCGCCGGGTATGGATTGGTACACAGAGAAAGACTGCTGTGTACTCGCGACGCAAACAACAGAGGCGGCGGTATTGAAAAGCCTTTGAACGCACATGCACATGCATATTGTATGCGAATAAATCGTACAATGAGCAGGAAATATACGGTTATTGTTGCATACAAGAACAAGGAACCATATACGCCGTCAAGAAATTTGCACAAGTCTCCCAGATCTCCGTCCTTCTATCTACAAGTATGCCCCTGTCTCTCCCAAGGAGCGTGTTAAAACTGCAGCTAGCTGTAGATAACCGCGATTTGCGGCAGAGGGAAACAAACTGGAAATTTGGAAACTACGCACAACAACTGGCACCGAAAATTTGCAGTCATGTCCATAACCACGCTAGAGCAGGGAACGACCGGTTATTACAGCTCATAACAACGTCTCATCCCGGGGGTGGTTTTCAACGTATAATTTCGATATTTCGTCCGTTTGGAAGCAGCTCGCTGTACGCTGTGTAAGGTGGTGTATACTGTGTGTTGCTGTCACTGTTGCTGCAGTCTGTTTATCGTTTCAGATTTCGATGCATAACTCTTATTCTTTACCACGTTACATCGCAGTTGCAGTGTATAGACTTTAAAAGACTCGAAAAAAGTCCAGTACCCAGCCGGTTTCCCTTCACTCACTGAAAAGACTCCACCACATCCCGTTCGACTGCGGGTATATATATCTCGAATGGGTAGTCTTTCTGTGTGTGTTTTTATTATTCCTTAATTAAAAATGTTGACATTCAGTTTGAAATGTTCCAGCTGTAATTCTCGGTCAAGCAGGGATGGCAAAAGAGAGTAGGAAAACAAGAAGAAAAACGAAATCTGCTGCTGATGCTGCGTGCGGTGTGCTGTGTGTGCTGTGCTTGTGCTGTGTGTGCGAGGGCCCCCCGCAGAAATACCTCCCCAGTGAGGGGGCCCCGCAGCTGAAAAATAACCGGACAATAACCGCGACTCTCCAGGGTACCAACCGCTGAACCTTGTCACCGCTTATAACCGGTGCACCCGGTTATGGACATCACTGAAAAATTGGAACAAGACGCTTCATGCAAAATTTGAAAAACTGAAAAAGTCGGAATTTGGAAGTTTGGAAATTTGGAAGCAAACAAGCAGTTGTGTTTCAATCGGCCTACTGCTACTGTAACAACATCTATCTCTTGCCCCTCTCTTTCTTCCCGTCTCTTACGTCTCTACGCTTCGTGCTGCAGTGTGCATGCCTATCCTAATACCAATCAGCTCACTGCCCTAGTAGGAAGGTGCACTGCGTTACTAGGAAGGTGCTGCATTGAAAAACGAAATGACGTCTCCCATTTTTTTTTCTATTGCTTCGCGGTGATTGGCTGAAAAGCAAACGACGGCGCGGCGGGTTACGGTACTCGACGTCGATGAGGCACGGACGGCCACAGAGGCAGAGAGAGGGCCAGCAGAAATGGTCCCGTACACCCGTTGAGTCTAGCAGGTGGTGACAAGAAACAGGGGGGGGGATAGCACACACATACCACCATCCGTGTCAGCGAGTCCGCGAGTCAGCATCGCTCGGTGCTGTGAAGTAGAACACGAAAATACACATGAATGCTGCTGCTGCTGTGCCGTCACTGAAAGATAACCAAGACTACCCGTTAGAGACAACAGCACCACCGCCGTCGAACGGATTTGTTGCAGTCTTCACAGCAGCGAGTGTGGAAAGGAGCCCGCTGGATATGCTGGGCACATGCTTTTAGCCTGTCGGTGCTATTAATGCGCAGTTGTTACAAAGTACACATGCAGCAGTAGCAGGAGCAGTGCCTCCGCGCTACAAGTATTTTAGTATTCCTCGAACTGCTCGCAGCCGCACACACACGAGTTTGTTCCAACAACCAGTGCACAGCAGTGCACAGCAGGTATCGATAGATGAACATCACTCACGATGAACGAGCGCTCGTGCGCGGTGCCGGGCTCCCCAGTGTACTTGAAGGCCGGAGCGGCGCACAGCGCCGTCTCCTGCTGCTGCTGCCTCTCGCTGGCCAAGGCGACAGCGCCCGCAGCAGCGACCGCGAGCACTCCGGCTGCTGATACTCCGCCGCTCAAGCCAGCCCCCCGGGACACGACACTACGGCGAGCAGCAGTGGACGCCTGGGCGGCAGGCACCGCCACAACCCTAGCGGACACCCGGCGAGCTACGTGGCCCATGCGAGAGAACATGATTGGCGGAGATGTGGAGAAGAGAAGGAGAGAGAGATACGGAGGGAAATATATATAGCGTGCACCATCAAGCAGCAGAGGACGATGCGGCTGCAAGATTGGGGGGGGGGCGGTTTTCACGCATCCCCTTACGTGTAAGCCCTCTTTTTAGACGTGCGGCAGAGAGACGGAGAGACACACCGCACGCAGCGTCACCCGCACCCGTCCCTTCGCGCCACGAGCTAGCCTGTCAACTAGAACCTCTAGTGCACGCAAGGTGAGGAGGCCAGCTGCGGGCTTTGTGGCCATGGGTCTTGGGCAGAGAGAGAGAGAGAGAGAGAGAGAGAGAGAGAGAGAGAGAGAGAGAGGCCGGTTGGCCGGCGGCAGCGGCGGCGGCGGCTGTGTGTAATTTGTCATGGTTGCACGCATACGGTCGCAATCGTCACTTTTGTTCTTCGCAACCTGTGCTGGAGGATATATATAGACAGAGCAGCACAGAGTAAAAACGTTCCCAACCCGGAGTCTGCCCCCTCCCGTTCCCTGCCCCAACAGTTTTTAAGCATGGGTACCGAGGAGTTCAAGTACCACATCTGCTGCATGGGCGCCGGGTACGTGGGCGGGCCGACCATGGCCGTGATCGCCCAGCGCTGCCCTCACATCCGCGTGTGCGTGGTCGACATCTCCCAAGCGCAGGCGAGTTTCGGCCCTGGACACATTGCGGTTTTTTGCGTTTTATGAGAACAGCTAGCTGCAGCAGCGTTAACACACAGGCTCCTGTGAGTGGTTGCCCCTCAGTCGCAGGGCCGCGCGCCGCCGATCGGCGCATGTATTCCGCGACCAAAGGTTTGTTCTCGTTGGAGAGCACGAGAGAACATCATGTAAAACACTGAGAGATTCCAGAGTGCATTGTAGAGATGATTCTCCCCGCACTTACTTGCTTCTTCCTCTTTCCTGCACTTCTTCCACCTACCTCCGCTCCACTGCTGCCGCCGTCATCTATCTCCTTCTTGTACCTTACCCCCTCCACCCCTTCCGCCCCGCTAACTCCTCGCTTCCCCATTGTGTGCCCTCTGTTATCGCAGATCGATGCCTGGAACACCGACGACCTCCCCATCTACGAGCCAGGCCTGCTGGAAGTGGTCAAGGAGAGCCGGGGCCGCAACCTCTTCTTCTCCACCGACATCGACGCCGAGATCAAGCGCGCGGACATGGTGTTCATCTCCGTGAACACGCCGACCAAGGTGCGTGAGGGGTCCAACCGCGCCGTCGGCGTTTGTTTCTCCCGCCACTCCTGTCCTGCCGCCGCCCGCCGCCTGTGGTAGGGTTGACCGCACGCTTGCCGGCGGACTCTTTTTGTTGTTGTTCTGTGTTCTTGGATATGACGCGATACTGTACTTTTTCGGCTCTTTTCGGCACTCCAGGACCGCCGACGTCTTTACCGGCTCACGAACGAAGCTTGTTGCCGTGGGTGGGGCCAGACCCTTTCTTTTCCCTCAAGGCGTGCAGGCGCTCACGCAGTTGTAGCGAACATGTCGGCGCAATTGCTGTTCGCGCGCCGGCGGTGGGTCGTGTATTTTGCTGCTGGTGCTACGCGTCTGCGCGGTGTTTGCAGCAGCAAGCAGCAACAACGCCTTTACCACATGTTTGTGGCTATGTAGCGAGGAAGAAGCCGCCAAATTATGCCGGTTGTTTGCGAAGCTACATGTATTCTAAAAGTAGAAGAAGCTAACCCGTTTTGGCAACGGCCGTCCCGTGGGACGGTCCGCAGAGAAACGCTCATGTGTAATGTGTACGTGGGCATATGCATCGGTGGCGGTGGCGCTGCGGCACGGTACATACATACGTGTCGTGCATGATCCCCGCAGCAATATGGGAAAACTCCGTCAATACTGTAGAAACACGAGAGCCGAGGAATTTCACCGCAAAGATGTGTGGCAAATAAAACGACGTCCGGGTGGAATGTGGCATATGCGTATGTCGGGTGACACCCACGCACGGCTTATTCGGGTGCGGTTCCGCCTAAAAAAGATTACGTCCCTTCCTCGCCGTCGAAGAAATGGATTGCCGCATCATTGTATCATTGCAGAAACACCGCCGCCAGATTTGTTGCCACTATTATACCTGCCACATCCATACGGTCACGGCGAAAAGGAGGAAGGCCTCGATCTACGCCGCAACAACGGCGATTTTTCGAATTTTGGACGTACGTATACTAGTAGTGTCGGACAGCTGCCGCTGCTGTGTTTTTTGCTGCTGAAGGTGAAACTTGCATCATGCGTCGCCTTTTTTGCGTGCATACCACACCCCTCGTCTTGACGCCTACACAACAAGCGAGCAAGTGGAGAAATGTATCTGTCGGAGACATGGAACGCTGATCGACAGTAAATTTATCGTCAAACGACACTGCAAACAACCACCACCACCACCACCAACGACAACAACAACAACAACAACGACCCAGGCATCACCTTCTGCCTCGCAAAAACACGACGCGCTCGATCGTCGTGAAACCTTCTTTTTTAGGGGACACCCAGATTCACTCAACGTGACACCCCCCCCGCCCCCGCCCCCTCCACCAATCAATCACGTTCTCGTGTCGTTTCAGACGACCGGTATCGGTGCGGGCAAGGCGGCCAACATCAAGAACTGCGAGCTGTGCGCCCGCAAGATCGCCGAGGTCGCGGACACCCCCAAGGTATGAAAGTTGGGCGAAGTCGATATGCATATGCATTTGCTGGAGAGGCATGTTAGCATTTTACGCCCCTCCCCCCCCACCGTATGCCACACGCGTGTGGCAGTACCTAGATAAAGCATTTGCATGTACCCAGAGGTGGATGTGCCTTTGCTCAAGTCGTGCTGATGCAGCAGATCACGTTTCCTCTTGGGCTGCTTTGTCGCGAGCACCGCACGCCAATGGCCGCCTGGTTCGTTAAGCACTGCCCCAGTTTTTCCTTTCGAGTATGCATATCACTCGGCTTGAGATAACATAGCTTCGGCATAACTCCCCTGTGAACCAGTGTTTTTATATTTTCTTCACTTAATATCAGCGCTCACATCCTTCCCAGTTGTAGAGCTCCAGACCCAGACCCCAATGTATGTCTGCATTAATGCATACGACTCCACATGCGTAGGCTATAGTCCTCCGCTCGATCAAAGCATGAACAATCATCGGGTACGTACTGCTGCCTTGCCATTCTTCCGCACCTCGTGACCACGGAAGGGGTTTGCGTCAGTTGGACCGGTACGGATTATAGGTGGTACCACAGCGCAGAGACCAGAACGTTTTAATGCAAAGACAAGAAGAACAACAGCAACAAAGAACAACAGTGACAGTAGCAGTAACAATAACGATATGACATGTTAACCTTTTTTTCGCTCCGTTAACGAAGGTGGTGGTGGAGAAGTCGACGGTTCCGGTCCGTACCGCCGAGGCTGTTCGCCGTGTGCTGGCGACCAATGAGGGCAAGGTCAAGTTCCAGGCAAGAAAAAAAAAACAAAAAAAAATCGTAGACATGCAGGTAGCTTTTTCTGACGCTATGTATGAATTCATTGCTAATCTGTCTCTGACTCTTTTCTATGATAGAGATGGATTCGCTGTGTCATAATAATAAGAAAAAAAAAAGGGGACACACGGTCGCAGCAACAAAAGAACGGCCTTTCCTCGAAAGTCGGTAGGCGTGCGGGGGCGATTGCGTGCTGTCTACCGTGCCATGTCATACGAACCCCTCTTCCCGCTTCGCTGTTGAGAGTCTTCAGCAGGCAGGATTTCAGGAGGGGTTTGCTTGAACGTTGACAGGCCTAGTTTTACACGCGTGCTGCCTACCCTGTCATACGAAAACCCCTGCTGAAGGCTGCTGAAGACCACGACGATCTTCAGAAACACCCAAGATTCGATTGCAGGTGCTGCCCACCCGGAGTGACCTTTCTTGCTTGTGCCAACAGCAGTGTCAACTCATATTATTTATGTGGATGATGTTGATTTGATTGGATTGCAACAGGTGCTGTCCAACCCGGAGTTCTTGGCGGAGGGTACCGCCATGCCCGACCTGCAGGACCCCAGCCGGGTGCTGATCGGCGGTATGCAGACACCCGAGGGGCTCGCGGCTATCCAGGAGCTGGTGAGATGGGTGGCTCTTTGGCCACTGTCAGTTGTGTTGATGTGTTTTTGTACGGGAGAGGTGCCTGGTTGGTGCCGGATATGTGCCCGCAAAACTCACCGGCAGTATACTGGGCCGACACTATTCGAAGTACAGACTCGGGCCCTCAGAGTAGTGCCGGTTGAATAATGCCGGTATTTTGGGCGGGCACAGACTAATCACCAAGTGATTCAGTACTTGAATAGTGCCGGTATACTGGTGTGGTCCATACCGGCACTACTGAGGCCCCCCCGCTGTATTGAGAATGACTCGGAAATTCAGTGTCTGCCCGCCGAAAACACCGGCACTAGTCAAACGGCACTAAACAGGGACCTGTAGTGTACATTGTTGTTGCTGTTGTTGTTGTGGGCTGTGGTGCTAATAACAAGATTGCTGTTTACTTGTTTTGCTATTGGTCGTTCCCGTAGACGTCGTACGTGTGCTGTTGTCGTCTGGTGTTTGTAGTTCCGCTACTGGAAGTAGCGGCGTTAGATTCGTTGTGGGTGTGGTTGGTGGCCGTCCTTGTTGTCGATGCCATCGTTGTAGTCTTGCGACAAGCGGCGGTGGCTGTGTTACTGACACGCTTCTTTTGGCGGCGTCCTTGCTCTCCCTCTCGCTCGCAGGTAGACGTGTACGCCAACTGGGTGCCGAAGGACAGAATCCTCGCTACCAACACTTGGTCCTCAGAGCTCTCTAAGCTCGTGGCCAACGGTAAGCCACAAAAACATGTTTGTTCTTCTCACATCATTTATTCTGGTCTTTGGTTCTTGCACCTTTTTGTCCAATGCTGGACGCACCAGCCGGGGTCACCTAGGATTTGCCACCTTTTTTTTTGCAACATGCACAGAAAAAAATCAGTGATGAGAGACCTCCCTAGATATATTTTTCCCGAGTCGAAGAGAGGTCGTTGAAGTGTTGAATTTTTTGCGAGCAGTGAGTGGGGAGAGGAATTTTCGGGATGCTGGGCTTTTTGTTTTGTCTGTTTGTTTTGTGTGTCCAGCGGTATCAATTTCTTGGCGGCAACCAACAATGGCACACCCGTCCCGTTTTGGTTGCCTATTTCCTGGCAAGCTAGCACTACTGGCCAAAACCCTAGCACAACGAAAGACAAAATAGCATACTCGGGAAACGCGCGCCAGTGGCCTCGTAGATGCGTGCCAACACCCCCCCCCCCCTCCCTGTGCCGCGTGCTCCCGGGCGCAACAATGTAAATCCTTTCAGCCTTCCTTGCGCAGCGCGTGAGCAGCATCAACTCGATCTCGGCGTTGTGCGAGGCTACGGATGCTGACATCTCTGAGGTGAGCGAACAAAAAAAAAATGCAACCCGGCGTTTCGCGAATTTTTGTTTTCAAGTCGTCCCCGCTTGAAACGCCTGCCGAAAACAAGCTGCACACTGGGAGTGTGCGTGAGATTGTTGTCCACGCGGTAGTCCTGGAGTGCCCAGGTCATGAAGAGGTATCTCGCCATGGGCCCTCATATCATGGACATTTTTAGCAAGTATGCAGGGTACAACCCACACATACTCACAACTTTATAAATAGTTGAATCTCCGAGTTGTTGGTAAAACTTGTTGTGTTTTTGCCTTTCGGCGTTGTCAAGGTGTCTCGAGCTCTGGGGTACGACCCCCGCATCGGCAACAAGTTCCTCAACTCCTCGGTCGGGTTCGGGGGTTCTTGCTTCCAGAAGGACGTGCTCAACCTCGTCTACATCTGCGAGTCCACCGGCCTTCCTGAGGTGGCCGAGTACTGGCACCAGGTACGTACTGTAGCGTTCTCTGTGGTTGATATTTTAGCGTCTATGCTGTCTCTGTGGTTGATACTTGAGCATCCCCAGGACTATGCTGGTAGACGGGGGTCTCCGGGCTGTGGACTTTGGTCAATGCAGTTGTGGCACCGGTATAAGAAGGCTGTGTGGCAAGAGACCCTCGACCCTGTGTATCGGACACCCCTCTTGAATGGGAACACAAGAGGGTAATAAATGCAGTGGCGGCTTACGGTTGAAGAGACTATTTAAGAGAAAGTACAGATTTAAGAGAGTCAAATGGCTTGTCACGACAATGAGAAGTACATAAATTTCACATTTCACAATACGATATGAGAGAAAAGCGGATTTAAGAGAGAAGTACTGGCTTGTCACGAACCTCTCTTGAACCATAGCCGCCACTGTACTTCGATAGAGGGTCGAGTCCGTGACTACCGATTTCGACCCTCTTATAACAACGGAGCCCCCTCTTCTAGGGTACCCTCCTGTATCGGAGCCACTACTGTTTCCAAAACCAGCAAAAAAAAAAAAACATTTGCATTTTTCATGCCTCATCGCCCCTGCCATTGGCGCTGTTTTTGCGTCCCCAACCCTGGAAAAAAAAAAAATCCAAGCACAACTGCACTTCCAAACTATTAGCGTGTAAAATGGCTCTTTGCTGTTATCGCTCATGGTTATACCATATATATGCTGTTGTCCGTGTTGATGCTGCTGCTGCTGCTGCTCCAGGTGTTGGCCGCATGTGGTATTTTATGTTGTTGATGCTGCCGCTTGTTGCATGATGCTGCTGCTTGTGTTGGCGGGTGTATTTCGCATGATGCGTCTCATGAGCTCGCTTACACTTCCCCAAACCGTCAGCGGGGTTAGGTAGGGCTAGGTTCTAGCTACAATAGGCATGCGACGAGGTTGGGTTGTACGAGGTTGAGTTGTTCGTCCATTCCTGTATTGCGAGCTTGAGTTGTACGTCCATACATATATGCGTAAGTTCTACAGGCCATCATTTGTACTTGCACATACAGGTACGCCCGACGCACCAACTCGTGTTGGCGCTCCATTTTTAGTAGTCCACTTTCTCGGTTGTCATCTGGTGCGTCGGCCTTACCTCACGTTTACCGAGTATGTATCGCGATAAACGTATAAAGTAAGGACAAGACACCAGATGCCAGCAAGAAATTGGAATATGAAAAGGGAGGACCGAAACCGAGGTTGGACGGCGTCGCAGGTAACCATGTTGTCCGTATGATGGCCCGCAGGGCAAGGTTGTGGTCGTGCGTCATACACGTTTGCATCATTTCTGTGGGCTATCATTCGTACCACATATATGATCGTCCCACGCATTCAAACCTCGTGTTGGTCCTCCCTTTTTTCCCCTCTAACTTCTTGGTGGCATCTGCTGTCTTGGCGTTGCCTCCCGTTTAACGGTCAACGCGATAAGCGTGACTCAAAAGGCCAACACTGCAGATGCCAGCGAGAAGTTAGAAGGAAAAGAACGGGCGGACCGACATGAGGTTGAATACGTTGGACGTTCATATATGGTGCAGATGGTGGCCTTGACGGCAGACGATATGAGGTATTTTCGTCCATATGTGTATGCACATGCGTTAACTTCTGTAGGGTGTCATATATTGTTGTTGTTGTTATTGTTGTTGTCTTCACATTAAAAACCGTTCCGATCTCTCTCTACCCAGTACCTTCGTATGTCCGTACTGATCCAACACTCGACGCGGTCGATTCCCGTGGTCACAGGCTAACTTACCCTAAAAAGTTACACTATATACTATACATCGGTACGTCCGACCAACCTCGTTTTGGTCCTCCCTCTTTAGTAGTCCACTTTCTCGGCTGGCATCTGGTGCGTCGGCCTTACCTCACGTTTACCGAGTATGTATCGCGATAAACGTGAAGTAAGGCCAAGACACCAGATGCCAGCAAGAAATTGGAATATGAAACAGAGGGCCAAACCGAGGTTGACAAGCGTCCCAGGTAACACATGTGCTGCACATGATGGCCTGCAGGGCATACCACGATATATGAGTCTTGTTTGTTCGTCCATACACGTGTGCATAATTTCTGCAGGCCATCATATGTACCACGTGTATGAACGTCCAACGCATTCAACCTCATTTGGTTGGTCATTTTTTTTTTTTTGTCCATTCTGTTTGGCTTGCATCTGTTGTCTTGATCTTGCCTCACGTTTACCGCGATGTACTCGAGAAACGTGAGGTAAGACCAAGGCAGCAGATGCCAGCCAGGAAAGTGGACTATGAAAAGGGAGGACCAACACGAGGTTGCATGCGTTGGGCGTTCATATAAGGGGCATTTATGCTTGTGATGGCCTGCAGAGGTTGCGCATGTTTTTCCTCATTTGATTGGTCAATTTCTCATGATGTACCTCTTTTGGGGGAAATTTTGCCGGTGTGCACCCAAGGCGCCCGCATCAGCGTCGACCCAGCTTTGTAGTAACCCATAGTCTTCGCTGCCGACATGAACGGGTACCAGAAGTCCCGCTTCACCCAGCTCATGTTTCTATCCTAACCCAAGGTCTTCGCCGCCGATTCGGGAGTCAATGTGATTGCCATGACCGACTGGGAGAAGTCTCCCTTCACCCAGCTCTCATGCTTGTATTCTAACCCGTTGGTCTTCGCTGCCGACAAGGAGTCGAGAGTCTAGGTGATCGGCATGGACCACTACCAGAAGTGTTGCTCCACCCAACTCGTTTCTAACCCTTTGGTCTTTGCTGCTGACAACGGCTGTGGGAGTCTAGGTGATCGCCATGAACGACTACCAGAAGTCTCGCTTCACCCAGCTCATGGTGCGACGTATGTTCAACACCGTCACCGGCAAGAGGATCGCCGTTCTTGGCTTCGCTTTCAAGAAGGACACGGGAGACACCAGGGAGACTCCGGCGGTGGGTTGTTTGTTGGATGTTTGATACGGCAGCAGTCATGCCGCATTTTTTTTTTGCGAAAACGAGCACTACTATTGTACAACATGAGTGGTTTTCGATTTCTTGACTGACTTCGCTTTCAAGAAGGAAACGGGAGACGCCAGGGAGACTCCGGCGGTGCGTAATTTTTTTTCGTGTACAGTAGTAGTTATGCCGCTTTTGTTTGTCTGTCTTTGCCGAAGGAAAATACTAATGCTGTACCATGTGGTACAGTATTCTACATGTATTGGTTGACCTCGCGTTCGCCCCGGCGCTGTCGTGTGTTGGATCATCATGATTAACTCCTCCTTTGGTTTTGCTGATGGTGCGTTCTTGCCCCACTATTATGTACGAAGTGTTTGTGTGCAAGCCCCTCCTGATGGTCCGGCCTAAGATTTTTTTTTCTTGTAGCATCACTATTTTTGTTGTCCCTATTATGTACTCTAGAAGTTTGTGTGCAAGGCCCTCCTGATGGTGCGGTCTTGGGATGCTTTTTTTTGTGTGGCATCACGATTATTATATTATCCCTAGTATGTACTTTACGTGTTTGTGTGCTTGGCCCTCCGGATGGTGCGGTCTTGATTATTTTTTTTTTGTGGCATAACTATTGTTATATTATCCCTATTATGTACTTCAGGTGTTTGTGTGCAAGGCCCTCCTGATGGTGCGGTCTTGATTTTTTTTTTGTGGTATCACTATTATTATATTATCACTATGTACTTCAGGTGTTTGTGTGCAAGGCCCTCCTGGAGGAGCAGGCCAAGGTCCAGGTGTACGACCCTCAAGTGAAGAGAAGTCAGATGTTCGTGGAGTTCGACTACACGTGCGGCGTCAACAAGGACAACACCCCCAGGCTCGAGGAGTCGGTAAGAGCGGAGGGAGGGAAAGAAGCATGTGTGGTGGCAATAATTTTTTTTTATCTTGACTGCCACGGTTCGTGTACCAGTCGGTAAGAGGTGAGCGTGGCCGAAAACAAAAAACAGTCGCAATGGCATGCATTTGTGTGAGGTTATACAGTAGATCTATTTCGCGTACCTTCCCCCGAAACGAAAAAAACATGAAAAACACAACTGTAATTACTAGCCCTGTGAATGCCACCTCAGACTGTAGCAGATTGTGACGTCAGATGACCTGTCGAAGATCTACCTTCGGGATGTTGCCACAGATAAGAGTCAGTGTCGGATGGATGCTGAACCTTGCTTCAACACAAGGTTGCTCCCCCCCTTGACTCACAACACAACTATCCGTACTCATCAGCCTCTTCACCAGAGGTTGAACCGGTGTGTCTCCACACCACACATCCCAAAGGGAACTTGCTCACACGCGAACCTGGAGACAACCGTCTCATAGTGGCGTCAGCGGCGTTACGTGTGTTGGTAGAGTTCCTGGTACCGTCTCATAGCCCGCGGTGTACACATTGTTGTATGGGGTAGATTTTTGTGCTTCAATTGTTGTTAGCAAATAGCTGTTGTCGTTTTGCGGCGCCTTTGCGTTTTTCTGTTCTCATTCTGAGATCACGACTTGGTTTTTCCAGTTGCTCATCCTTGTCCTTGGGATTTCCTGCGGGGCTCCGGGGGGTGGTGTTTTTGCCCGTTGCCCCCCCCCCCCCCTCAGATTACCACTTGCGAGGACGCCTACTCCGCGGCCGAGGGGTCTCACGCCCTGGCCATCTTGACCGAGTGGTGAGCCAAGCAGAGCCGCGGCATGGCTGCCTGCGTTCGCGATTTCGGTTTAGTCTTGAAATGTGCTCTCGATTTCATCTTACACCTTACGCGTAGCTCGATTTCGTCTTGCATTTTAGCTCCTTTTCGTCCAAGTTTTGCTCGCTTTCGGCTTTGGCTCGCTTTCGTTGTGGCATTGTATATTTATTTTTGTGAAGAAATGTAACATGTTTCTTAATATTCATCTGCAGGGACGAGTTCAAGACCCTCGACTACCAGCGCATCTACGACAGCATGGCCAAGCCGGCCTTCGTCTTCGACGGACGCGGGGTGGTCGACATCGAAGCCCTCCGCAAGATCGGCTTCGAGGTGTACTGCATCGGAAAGTCCAAGCCCAAGTACTCTCTCGACAGTCCTAAGTAAGAAACAACAAAGTTTGACCGATTTTGACTGCGACGGATTTAGTTTCTCGATCGTGTGTACAAGGTTGAACGAGTGGATTTTCCATCCAGTATAGTAGTATATACGCAAGTGCTTTTTTTTTTTCTTGTTATTTTGTCTAATATCTGTTGGTTTGTAATGGTGGGGCGTTTTTTTCTGGTGTTATGATGGATGGTGTGTCTGCATGCGTACACTGGCTGTTTTGTGCTACCGCCCGGCCGGTTTCAGCTTTAGTCGAGAATCGATTGGTGCTGATTCGGTGGTTGACATTTGGCGTTAATCGCCGAGCACAAATGACCTTTCAGGGCGGCGTTTTTTCCTATGAAAGCATGGCATCCAAAGGCGGCCCGCAGCCACATGGGAGCAATGAGGGTATTGTTGCAAGGGATTTCTCCGTGCGCGTGCGGCTGAATGCCTCGTGCGTGCACGCATGTCGGCCGATTGAAGAAGTAATAGCTGTTACTTGTAGTTGCGTTTCGGATTCCTCAAGAGCAGGTCGGGTGCCCGCCGCTATCGTGAGGGCGAGTTTGTGCTGCTCCAGGCTGTAACCCCCTCTGGAAGGCGGACGTACGGCTGCATTCAGCGTTCTCTTGTCACGTACTGTATGATAGGTGGACTGGCATTCTCCGTCATGAAACTGTAGGTGGTAAGTCAACAATAGCTCGGTAGTCGGGAGGCGGGCGTTGTTTTTGTACAGAGCAGCCGCAGTTTCGTCGTGGCACTAGCTTGAAGAAGGAAAGGTTTGGTGGAGTAGCTTGGAGGAAAGGAGCACTCGTACCTACTCCGAGTGTTGGAGAAAAGAGTTCCGTTAGCAATGAATGTGTGATGCCCTGGTGAGATGTTTTTGCTGTTGTTTCGCGTGCGCTTTGCGCGTCTATCGTGGTCTTGGCTCCGATGGGCAACATGAATCACCATTTTTGTCCCTCTTCTTGACGTCCAATCTTTCTGTCGATGATGCCAAATCCGTCTGTGTTTTGGCATACGTCTTCATCAAGGCCAATGATATCGGCTTTTTCGTTTGCACAGGCGTGCCACAAGGCAATGCAACCGTGGTCTTGACTCCGATGGGCAACATAAATCACCATTTTTTCACTCTTCATGTCCATTTTGCTTTTTTGTCAGTGCCAAATCCGTCTGTTTTTTTTGGCACAACTCTTCATCACGACAAACGATACCGGCTCTTTCGTTTGCACAGGCGTACCACAAGGCAAGGCAACCAACAGCAGCCTCCAACTCTCCCTTTCATTCTAATCGAGCCAAGCTTCTTTCTTGTGCGCCCTGCGGCCTCCAAAAATCGAAACCACCGGAAAAAAACATCTCGCTCTGCCGCGCTGATTTTCTCCCGGCGGTTGAATGCCCCCTGCCCTTAGCGGTGACTTTTAGTATGGGGTCGTCTTTTGTACTGGATTTTGTGTGGCGGCTCCCAAGTACTTGGCACAAGAGGGGGGCGCGCCCATTGTACTGGGTTTTGCGCAAGATACCACCCCCCCCTTGTCCAATTGTTAAAAAGTCCGATCACTCCACGACGAAGATGATGGCAAACAACCAAGTTGTGCGTTTCTCGAAACGCTCTTCTTGCATTTTCGGCGGCACCGCCGTGAAGACTATTCGATTCATTGTTGCTGCGGAGAAATCGAGCCTTGAATATCGGCCCAGGGGGTGTGGTAGCTTACCAAATGTCGCCGCGGGCCGCGAACAGCCGTATTTGTGTTTTCGTGCGCCGCCAGTTTTCACCATTTTTGTGATGGCGACTCGACGGGTTTCCTGTCTGAATCTTCCAACACAACAACCTTTGCCCCATGGGGTAGATGATGGTCTTCCACTTGAAGTTTTTCCTTCACCTCCGCCATGGGGATGGTCTAGAGGATTCATAGCAACTCCTCGGACTATAGGTCGGCGTCCGATCCATCGTGATTGTCCTGCTTTTTAAGTTTAATAAACCTATTATTAGTATTTCCGATAATACCATTTGTTGCAATAGTTTTTATATCAAACCATCTATATTGACCAGATTTTAATGGTATCTTTGCTAATGTTGTAGTTCTTCTTAAAATTAATCCATGAGCGCTACCGCCGACAACTCGAACGTACAGACTGCGAAACACGCTCGATCACGGAAGGAACTCGTTTGCTGCAGCAGGAGCAAGCACCCCCCAGATTGTAACGCAACCCAATAAGAGAAACAGAACACGAAATATCTTCCGAAATATTGCTGTGCCGACAACAAGCAGTGCCGACCAGAACACATCAAGGGAGAGGCTTGTGGGTAGTGCACGGTGCAGCTCCCGCATCATTTACGGGGCAGCTTCTGTTTTATCTACGCCCCCCACACCAACCGAAGGTGGTGGGTACCTGGTGCAGCTTCTGCATAATCTACGCCCCCGCCCATGCCACTCGCCGAAAACCTCACGGCGCTTCGCGCCTTGTGAAGTGAGAGCCTGGTCCGGTGAACACCCGGCGTGCTCCGTCCCGGCTTTGCAAGGCTTCGAGGCCGATGTTCTAACGACTACACGGCATGCACGACTACAATATGACTACCCCCCCCCCCCCCCCCACTAGCACTTGTGTCCAAGGCCCACACATCTTGTATTACGACTCTACTATTTAGGCTTGGAGATGCCACGGCAAACGCACACGACCTGCACGTGGCGTTTGTCTTGTCCTTCACATTTTTCACCGCCATAGGACTAGCACTTGTGTCCAACGCACACACACCTTGTACTACGACTCTTAAGCTCGGAGATACCAAAAGGGGAAAACGGAT